CAGATGAGTTACTGTGATGAGAATACACTTCTTGGGTAAAAGTATATGAATGAAGCGACATAACATTACCGGATACGCTTACCAGACGAGCGACATTAACTGTGAAACCGGTTGTACACTCCAGGGGAAATTTGTCTAGTAATTCGTATACTGCTTATTGGAGTAAACATATATATATATATTCACAGTTGGAACGCACTGTTGTCAGTATGATTAAGTAGAATACACCTTTTTTGTCAGTTTCCTTTATCTAAAGTTAGAAAAAAGGAAATGATTGAGTAACGGATATGTAGAATCTTTGATCAGGATAAGAAGATCCGTAGGAATGTCCAGCAGTTTGACTTCTTTTCCGATTGTCTTTTTTTCAATTTGTCCAGTTGAAGAGGTCGAAGTCAATCTTTCTCACGTTCCCGTTTGTTCTCGTCATTTGGAGGCGATCGACAGTTTGATCTTCTACGGCCTGTTTAATACATCTAACTTAGTCAATCAAAATCTACTCAACTCTCCGAGCTGTACTAGCTTTCCATTCAACCAGCTGATTGAATCTAAGCGAGCAGGTCTGGCCCAACTCGAACGCTGTCTATTCTATTTGCACAATTTGACAAGAGCAGCTAACTCGTCCGAAATCACGGTTCTCTCCGCACACTTGGATCAGTTGATTGCCCCGGAATTCATTATTCGGTTCACCGATTCCGGACTGAAACAACGTCCGGGGCTGTGGGCTTGTCTGGACGCGAGCAAACGTTTGGAACTTGCTTTACACCAACCACATGACATTCCTATGACAACCCCATTCCAGTATAGCGTGTCACGCTTGTTCATTGCATTTCAATATCGTGAACGTCAGCGACTGAGAGCGATCTCCACGCAGTCATACATCAATTCGGGTGATGCTCATGATTTGGCCGTATTTCATGGTGATGGACGAGGTCTTCACTTTGACCCTTTATGGCGAATCTTGACCACAGATTCAATGGTACGTCATACCGATGCTGCATGATGTTGCATTTTTTGACTGTTGAACTGTTTTCCTCACTTCCTGTGTACAATAATGGTTTGATAAACTTTTGCCTGGTTGCGTTGCCCTTATCCATGCATAGTTTTGATTGACTAGTGTTGGGGGTGCTGTCATCGGCGTGCTTTGAGCCCTATGGTCCGAGGTTCGAGCCGCACCACCGCCACCCAACTTTAGTGGTAGACAGCTTTGCTGTCGTCCGGTTCAATACCACGCCTAAACTATCGGAGGGCCTTGTGTGGTTCACCACTCCAAGTCCCGCGGGGCTTAGGTTATCAGTTTCCATCATTGAACAGCAGATCCTCTTGATTATGCGCTTTACCCCGTCTGTTGTTTCTCACACGATAGCGTGTAATAAAAAGAGATGCCCGGGGGCTGAAAATTTCAGTTTATGGGTCATATTAACATGTTCAGTTCAGTTTGCAGTTTGTACAACTATTAACCGTGCACTTTCATGCGGCGGTTTTGTTTGCTGTCTTTCGGCTGCCCATTTTGGATGAACAGTAAGAGAAAGATAGGGAAGTTGAAAGTAGAGTCAAACAGAAAATGGATAATTTCAGTGGTATAAGATTGCAAAGAAATTGAGAAGATGCTCGAACGCCACTGTTTAAGACACCCAACCAGATCACTCAGTGTCCCTAACCATT